TAGTATGAAATGTGCTATATAAATAAACTTGCCTTGTCTAGAATATTAATATTGGCTATTGCCTGTAATGTGAAAATAATGCAGCTTTTTGTGTCGGACAGAATTTTAATATCTATAATCTCTAATGCCAAACAAACATTATTTGGTGTGTGAAGTGCTTTCTGTTTTCTGTGGTCTCAAGGATCCTTCAGGGTGGGCTGGAAGTGGAACGACTCTACCTGAGGAACTTCTTCCATCACTTTCACTCAAAGCGTGGAATGTGGAACCGCCAGATGCTGCGCAACACGTAACCATGTCAACAGTCTCGCCACTGCTGAGCAACGGTTACCATGGCACTTTAAACTTCAGGACATTCTGGATGAGTTCCAGGTCACATCTGACAGAAGGTGAATTTGAGGTGGAAACACACAGAGACTCAGGACAAGGACGCCTGTGATGTTTGGGTTGGAGATGAGTTGTGTAACACTGTTGCATCCAAACCTCACTGGATCATTTCCAAAGTTGTTGGATGTTTCTCCAAAGCTAGCTATGCTATCAAGAAAACCCGACTTTAAAGGAACCGATACAAGTTATTGATGGCTTCAGCATCACTATGTCGTTGTCGTCACTTCCAGGTCAATAATATGCCTTCAGTCACGTCTGGCTGAGTATTCTCTTCTGACAGCTAGAAATATGACGTTCAATGAGATTTATATATTGAGAAAAAGTGTATTTATTCAGGTAGGTAGGTGTCTTGGGTGAGGGTTTAATGCTGTGTGACCTGTGAATCGGTGGCCGAAACCAAAAAGAAGTGCAATATTCAAAGAGCATGTTTGTCTAAGAAAGTGAATTCATTCAGGTTAGAAATGCTGTTCTGTTTTCAAATCAATCTCACAAAGCCTGTCAAAAACACATCTGTCATATATCACCCTCAAAATACAAAAGAAATTACCTTATGTTAAAAGAATAGTTTTACTCCCAAATTCTTATTACTATAAAGCAGAAAATAGACAGATAGACATTATTCAATTCAAAGTAAAATCATTTCAATTTAAAATCATGGTAGCATTGGTCTGTATGCTGATTTAAATATTAAAAATGCATTCATATTTTTGTTTTTGTAATGTACAGGAAAAGTATTAGTATAGATGTGCTTAATTGTCATTGAACATACATAATGTCACAATACCTTCATTCAAGGCTTAATTCTCTTTATGCAAAATGTAATTTATTTTGAGGAGGGTATGAAATGACCTTGCTATTTTTTTTTTCTTATTTTGGATATTTGCCATTTTGTAGTGGTATTGAAGGAAAATGTTCTTTTTATACAAAAGAGAAAGGGATTATCCAGCGTTAGGTACCTGAACAGCCAGTTTTCTTGTGTTCATATGATATTCCGATGAGTAAACCTGGCTCAAGATGATTTAGACTGATTCAATCCTGTACAGTATTACTGTGCATTATTATTCAGATCCTAATATTCATCATACAGTCAATTTCAATTCTTTACTGTAGGGTTTTTATTTGGTTTGTTAGGAGTTTGTACTCTGATGAATTACATGCAAAATTGTCCAAATGAGAAAGCTGACATAAAACATGCTCACTCATAAGTGCCTTCTGCTGTATTTAATTTGGAGGAAATCAGATGGAAATTTCTACTGTACACTGGTTTGTGTAGAGATTTGGCGCTGTTTTTACAGAGATTCTTTTTAATGGTTACACATGCTCTAAATGTTGCTGCCTTGCAGTTTTTTTTTTTGGTGGACTTTTTTTGTAAAAAAAATAAATAAATGCAATGCATTGTAGATCTGACAGTCAATAGTGTGTTACTTAAAAAAAAATTAAGTTGTTTTTTATTTATTTTTCCAAATATTTTGTTGGCAAATAAGTCATTCAAGCAGACACCAATAACCTTAAAATAAAATGTTTCTTCAGATTTCTTCAGTGTGTTTTATTTGTTATATAATCAATATCAGCATCACCTGTTGATGAGCATTAAGCCAATATATTAATTAGTTGTCTGACTGCAGCATTGGATAATGTACTTCCTTTCAGTCTTCTGTCTGTCGGCATGTTAGCTTCGTCATTCTTCTGTTCCATCACTCCATTGTTACATTGGCTGATCCCTGTCTGTTGTACCAGACTCCAGAAATAGCTGCTTGTAAATGTGCATCATAGCTGTAATAAATAACTAAACCAAGACCTTGAAGAACATTTCTCAGTACTGGAGTAGGATTCTCAGTTCTGCACATGTAAATGATTTGTTTATAGTGGAAACGGGTACATTTCTTTTGAAAAAAATATAAATGCTTTTCATGCTTGAACTGTTTTGAAGCTGCATTAAAGGGATAGTTCACCCAAAAATGAAAATGACCCCATGATTTTCTCACCCTCAAGCCATCCTAGGTGTATAATGCTCTTTTTCCCGGACACATCCTGGACAGATTTTCTATATTGCCTAAAATATCCAGGTTTTGGCTTTGTTTTCACTCTTGCTGAAGGTGATGATCGAAAAGTAGTTTGACCAAAAAGTGCAGTATGGTCACCCTAGGTGTACGTGACTTTCTAGGTGTATAAAGGCTTTCTGAAGTGAGAGTGAGTAAATCATGGGGGTAATTTTCATTTTCATTTTTGGGTGAACTATCCCTTTAATACAATTTTCCACTGTAGTTTGTGAGCAAGCCATTCGCCTCATAAGTCAACGTACCATGAGAATGATTTTGAGACTGATATTTCTACGTAAAATACATACATGCATTTGCTTTAAAGTGGAAAAATATTTTGTGAAATGGTCACTTGTTCAACATTGTATTTGATGAGTCTCCATGTGCAGTATTCTCCAATTGTGGAGATTTTAAATGAGACACTGCATTTATCGTATAGTGTATTCAAAATGTAATGTACATCTAAATACAGCACCTAATTCCAGAGCATCTACAAAGTTAAATGAGGGCCCTCCATCTGTTGGTATGAGCTTCTGAAGGTTTAAAATAAGAACAGGAGACTCTGGCTTCCCTCCGAACATGTTTCAATTCTACAAATGCCTTTTAATTTTATACGTAGGCAGGCTATATTTAGTGAAGGCTTGCATTTATTTGGAGTTGTGTATCCTCAGGTCTACAGTCAGCTGAGCTCACCACATTGTCAGTGCAAAGTACAAAGATAGACACACTTATTATCTCACTCAATTGTTTAAACTTTAACATATTTAAAGGAGCTGACTCTATTATCGGTGTTGGTTTTATATTCAGAATGGAATATTAGCATATTTCTAACTGCATAGTATTGAATATATACAGCCTACCTACGTTACAAAACAACTATAATGCATGCATCATGCAAATTAATACTTTTATTCATAATGGATGCATTAAATTGATCAAAAGTGACAGTAGAGACACTGACTTCTTTTATCCTTGAGCACAATCACACTTATAACACCGTAAAGCTGCTTTGACACAATTGTATAAAGCGCTATATAAATAAAAGTGACTTGACTTGAACCAGTGGGGTAGCAGTGTGTAATAATAGTAGATTAATAACAGGCCTGGCTGCACCATACACTGG